TGGTGGGGGTGGGGGGGCCTGCTGTGCCCGTTGCAAAGTTGTCGGTTGACATCTCCAAGCTCAGGCCTGAGGACCACGTGAGATAGCGAGACCGTTACCCGTGGGTTTCACATTGTTATTGTGTGCGGGGCTCTGTGAATGAGAGGTGGATACATTTGACCTATACAACGCTCCTCGTTATATTTGGCTACTCTGGACAAGAGGGTAGGCCTTGCACCATGCTGCTCGGGCATCGAAACGCAGAAAAGCACATTGAAATTTTGGGCAGAAGTCGAGCATGTACGACCGAATTGAGCATATTTGGCGAAAAGTCGAGCATAAATGGCGGTTTTGGGCATGTTTTGGAGCATATTTGGCCCAAAAGAAAAGCGTATGCTCACGAAAAAAGGGGCAGAAAAAAAAGCGCAGAATGGGGCAACAAGAGGGGCGGGGGTCTCGCAGAATCTTTCGTATTCTTGCCCCCCCCCCCGTATCGGGAAGCGTCCTGTGCGGTTGGAATGCTACATTTTAAGCCGTCAAATTCTTCGTGTGCAATCCTGTGAGATTGGAGCAGGGCATTGAACATCCTGTGAGATTGGTACCATGCTGACTTCATAGCCAACCAGCGGTTTGTTTGCGATCCTTCGCTTGATTGAGCAGGACACAAAAAGCGTCCTCCATAGCCATGAAACGGTTCACTAAATTTATAGCGAACAAACGGCCTGTCTGCTGTCCTTTTGTATTGAGCAGGACTTAAAAGTGTCCTCCATAGCCATGAAACGGTCCACTAAATTTATAGCGAACAAACGGCCTGTCTGCTGTCCTTTTGTATTGAGCAGGACGTTAAACGTCTCCAAGAAGAGGAGAATCTCCGAGTCTTGGCCCTACACACCCTGGGGGCCTTCAAGCTCGACGCCTTCGTGTTGCTGCCGTTTGTCCGGTACGTCCAGTTGATGTTGTTGCTTTTTGCTCTTGGCATGGGTGGTGGTGGTGGTGGTATTGTTGTTGTTGACATTTGGTATTGCCGTTGTTGTTGGTGGTGGTGGCGTTGACGTTGTTGTTGGTGGTGGTTGTCGTGTCGGTAATGCTTTCGGTCTGTTGATGACGCTGCCTGTGAGGGTCGTATTGGCACTGTCATTTTGTTGTTTGGTGGTATTATAATGGCGGTTGTGTTGTTGCTGTTTTTGATGATGGTGGTGGTAATGTTGACATTGTTATTGGTATCGTTGTTATTGACATTTGATGTTGCTGTTGGTGTTGGTGGTCATGGCATTGGTACGTTCGTTGTTGTATGTCGGTGGTGGTGTTGCTGTTGCTGTTTTTGTTGATGGTGTAGTGGTGTTGACGTTGTTGGTATTTTTGCAGTTGATTTTGGTCGTGTTGTTGTTGCGCCTACAGCACAAGACGGACATTTGCCGCAGTCAGTCGTTGTTGTAGTGGCTTGACACCTGCAGCCGCCGAGAGTACGTGTGCCTCTCAGCTTGGCTTTGCGGAGCACCTGGAGCTTTACCCCACTCCACAAGGGCAGCTAAAGTGTACGCCTTGGAACGGTGGCACGTTGTTCGCAGCGTTCTTTGTCGATCTTCGTTGTAAGTATGTACCCACACACCACCACCACCACCACAGACACAGGGATGATTTATCGCAGCTTTGTTGATCAATACTTCTATCATCTTGATAGAACCCCCCCCCCCCCCAGCTGCGATGGATCACTTTCCAGCACACTGGCGGCTGTCGACTCGGGTATCAAGAGCCCCGCACCGCGCCCCCCGCACTCATGGAACATAGATTTTCCGCAGATTTTCTGAATCACATTTTTTGGACAAAACCCCCCCCCCCCCACCCCCCGGACAGGGAAATTTTGCCGGAGCTGGTCAAAGGACCCCCGGGAAAGGGCCCCAAACAGGGCGGGGTGAACGCTTGGCAGGGGCCCGGGGAGCCCGGGAAAACACAATTCCCCAGGGGGCCCTCCCCCCAGGGAAACCGGGACACGGACGGGAAGGATTCCTGGTCCAAAACGAGTTGCCCAAGTGGGGGGATAAGGGTCAAGGCCATGGCGGGAAAACCCGGGTCCCCCAGGGGCCCTCCACCGGGGGAAAAAAAGAAATGGGA